CTTCATCTTTCTTCATTACACTCACACACACATTCGGCTTCTTTTCACGTTCAAATTGCAAATTACCGATTCCTTCTTTCTTTCTTTCTTCTCGCGCGCACACGATTTAGTGAATGAGATAGATGAGGAGAAGAGAGGACGAGATGACGATCAATCATTCCATTCCGTTCTTAATTATTCCCAGTTAATTGGCTAATTTCCACATCAATCACGGCGCCAGAGCTAATGTTTAATAATCGCGCGTGTGAAAGATTGACTTTTAAACATGTAATATGTTTCAATTCCTGAAAAGAATGAAGAGAGGAGAAGAAGAAATTTGAGATGTCTGACGTTTCTGCTCTCTTCTCTTGATCATTAATTACTTTAGAAATCGGAAGGGTGCAGGTTGAGCGGGGTGGAGGGGGAGGAGTAAACTGAGAGGAGGACAAGAAAACGATGCCGGTTATTAATTTGGTGAGCTTTTTCGGATGCATAAAGCAAACAAAAACGGTTCTCTCCACTAAATTCCTCTCTCTCTTTAAATAGACTCCTGACAGATTTGCTGCCACTTTATCTAAAATAGAAAACCATAGCGCACATATGTATTACTTTAAAAAAAAAATAACCAATATTTCAAAGAGAGGAAGGAGACTTCTTTCGTAATAATATTTTAAATGTAAATTGCAAATGTTTGGTTCTATCAATGTTCGTGTCGGTATCCTCAAGCATAATTGGAGGCTTTTCAGCTCTTGTTAAGTACGCTTTTATACTCCATTAAATGGACACCTAACAAACACGATTGGTATAACAATATCATCATACCGCACAATGAATGTGACCATCATCAATCATACTTACTATACATATTATTTCGTATTCGGTATAATTTATCAATTTTCGGTACGAAAACTAATACACAATAATCGAATTAACTTTTACTCGCATCGAAATACGTGTACGTGTAGTATTAGGATCGATGCATCACAATTAATGTCAACATTTTGTGCGTAACGAACAAAACTCATCCTCTCATTCCCATCTTTGCTTCACAGCCGCAACCGGAGATTTACGATTGGCGACGGATATAACGAGGGGCTCGGTTGTAAAATATTATATTAAACGGAGAGAAGTTTTATTGTCGACGATGAAATTAATTTTTAATTCAATTTGAGCGAGTGTTGTTGTCGGTTACAAGACTACAACGACGACTATGTTGATACTGATGGCTGAGAGTGAGAGGAAAGATAATTTACACTTGAATCTGTGTTACAACCATCTTCTCTTTCACTTCTCTTCAAGTCTTTTTTCGGCTCTTCGAAGCGAATGGTATGTGCGGTTGTTGTCGCTGTTGTTGTGCGGTTTGGGTGGGCATCGGGGGGTCGCCCGGAGTGCCCCAGGGGTCCAATTAAGGACCCATTCTTAGCGGCGGGATAGTGGAAACCCGACGGTGGTCGATCTCTTCTCTCCACTCTTCTCCTCACCTCGCCATCCATATCCACATCCACCTCGCTCACTATGCACACTATACATCCTCCATCCTTTCCTCTCCACCTTTTTCCTCCTTTTGTTGTTCTCTCTCTCATTCTCTTTATTATTTTGTACGCTGGACGCAGATGTGTTTAGTTGCGAGTCGTCCACAAATCCCGCACGCCACTCAATATCCTATTATTTTCGACTTAACACTTATGGATTATTATTGCTCGCCCATATCATTTCCGCCTTCGACACCCTCTCTTTCTCTTTCATTCACTTACCCAGTTAGTCTTCAATGATCAGCGTAGAAGTGATATAAGGGAAAGAGAGAGAGATCATCCAATTACTTTAACATTCACTTCTCTCATATTGACATCGATATTGATATTTGATTGTCCATACACAATCAATCGATTGCAACAAATAAATTGTTTGCGTAATTTCTGTAACTCCGCCGTAGCCGGTCCCAAGCCCGGTTGAGAAAGGAGGAGGGAAGGAATGATTGGTTTGTTGTTGTTGTTGTTGTTTGTCATAGAGGGTGGCGGATGCGGTTTTCTTTCTTTATATATAAAAATAAGCAACAACATCCAATCGTAAATGCACGCGAAATACTAATTAGTAGTAGTAGTAAGGATGATGGGAGGGTCGCGATTAAAATTCAACGATAATAAAGCGTTGTTCATGCGAATGGCTTTCGCTGTTGTGAGTTATGTGTGTGTGTTTGTTACGTATGTATGAAGTGGAATAGTATAGTTTCCGTGTTTTGTGCTGCGCCCGTAAAGCATGCGAAAAGAAGTGAGTAAGTGAATGAGAGTTGGAGTGTGCGGGGTGCGTGGTCGGACTAATTAGTAAAAGTTAAATATTTACAAATAAATGGGGATTAATTGCTCGCGCGTCAACGTAAACTACAATTATTATTATATACTCGCTCCACGCAACGTTTATCTAAGATGGCGCCCCTCGATATCAATTGTTTCGACTTACCCACTTTTGCTAATCTACAGCCTTTCCCTTACAATAGTATTTATAAATATACAATAGATGGCGTCATCTTAGATCGTGCGTTACAGACGCATTCTTTGCGTTTAAAATTAGTTGTTGTTGTTTATTTTTTCTTCGTTTGTTCTAATTATGCTACTAATTGTAATTTTAAAAGAGGCTTTCGTGTCTGCCACGGAGAGTGTGTTGGCTCTGGTGGAGAAGATAAGCGAAGACGTGGAGTGGAAGAGCGACGCAGAACGATTTGAATGTGTGCGTTGGAGAGGGATGGAAAACAACGTGTGTGTATGAATGCATGCATGCATGCATATATAAAGGAGGCTACTGTTTGCTCTCTGCCCAATGCTTCTCTCTCTGTCTCTTTCGGTCCGTTCTCTTATCTCGATCTAAATTAGTAAAATCTCGTAACATTAATTAAAACTTATCGCGCGTCGGGGCCGGGCCGGGCCCCGCTCTTATCGCCATCTCGCGCAATAAACCATAACTTCCCTCTTGGACCGGCAGACACTGAAAAAGAAATTAAAAAAAAAATGAAAATAAATAAAAATACTCTTGGCTAATTAAAAAAAAAACGAAAAAAAAAAAAAGTAACAACAACTATTTTTTTTTTTTTTTTGTTTCGTTCGTCTGTTGTTTCCTTTCATCATTCCGACGCCCACTGCAGCAGTACATGCAACATCCATCCATTATTTACGATATCTGCGCGTGTTTATTGGCCGCCCATTATTAATTTTACACACATTGGACGGCGTGTAAATACCGCGGGGGTGTGTGGGGGGGTGGTTTCGCGCGCGATTTATGTCCACTTCTCTCAACCAACAACCAACCCCATCGCTCGATTAAATTTTGTTTCCACTTTTTTTTTTCGCTGCAGCTTTCGTTCGAGTTTTTTTCATATAAATAGAACAGTTACATTTACTATAGATGGATCACCCTGCACAGAGTATATACGTGCACGCAATTACATAACGTATATGGATCGTCGAGGTCGTGATTTACGAGATATAACTATAATTACGTTAAGCATGTAATTAACAACGCGCGTCGGCCGATCGCACTCTTTATTGTCCTGGACAAATTACGTCAAATTTTTCAAACTGTTTTCTTTCAGTTCCTATTTTCGATTTCTTATATTTTCGTTAAATCATTCGATCGTATATTTGTCCTTCATTTGTTTGCCTGCCCCTATGAACAAACAGCAGTTCATAATCGTCGTGTGTCGTGTAATAATTTAATCTTCATCCTTCCTTTGTCTTCGTTTCCGGTGTGAAATGGCGCCACAATATTTATCGGTGGTGGAAGGGAATGAAAAACACGTTTTTTCTTTTTTTTAATTTAATTTCATCGATTAACTACTCTACTCGTTCGCTGTTTTGTCCCATTGTCCCGACGTAATTGTAATATAATCGATGCGACTTCTTTGTCTTCGTTTTTCGTATTTTACACGTACCACTAATGAAATGCACCTATTATTATCATCATCGTAACAATAACGAATGTAGTCATGCATTCTATGCATTGTTAATTGGGCCGGTGTCAAAGGTGAAATTTAAAAAAAAACAAATGAAACGCAGGAAATCGTTTCATGAAATCACTTCGATCGAAATTCACTCACATTGTATTTTGTTCAAGAACATTCAATTTCCTGTCGTGTCCTGGAATTCAAATATCTCTGGACACTGTGGAATATCTCGTAGTCTTAGTGGAGTTTTTAAGGAATGCTAGAGGTGAATTCACTATAAGATTATTAATAACTTCTATGTCTAGATTCTAGTTGCTAGGTTTGTTAATAGGGTTTTTATGAGTCTAACTAGGACTCCACTAAGACTAAAACTTGAACTAGTGACTAGCTAGGACTATGACTTTAACACTGACCCTTTAGGACTCCTCCTGTATTACATAAATATCTTCTTATATAGTAGTGAGTTAGCATAGTGAGAGTACAATATTTGGTAAGGGAAGATAGTACCTAACTTTCCTTAATAATCAAGTCATTAGGAAGATTAGTAGATTAGTTATGAGATCTTCCTAAGAGGGTATTTGTTCTAAGTCTTAATGACTTACATACATAAACATGTATAAAATAATAAGGGCTAACATAACATAAACAATAACGGTTGTACATAACATCCAACTTACCTCTTCAGAAACATTTCACACTTACCTTCTTATTTTCATTCACTCGTTGATTCAATTTTTATTTTCCTGTTAGGCAACAAAAGAACAGTGATTTGATCAAAAAAAAAACAACGTAACGAGCCACAATTCTTCGTATCATTTTCTTTTGTTTATTCTTTTTCATTAATGTCAACTAAAAACTAAAATTTTCCTACTCTTTCTTCTTCTTCTTCTTGTTGTTGTTGTTTCATTCTCGCAATTGTTTCAATGCATCTCTTCATATTATATATTATATTATATATATATTTATATATGTACAGGTCGTGATTCTTTTTTTTTTGTTTGTTTATACAATTTTTCTTCTTTTCGTTTCAACAATTTTACATAAATAATAATATTAATAATTAATTAATTTAGAATTAAAAAAAAAAAAAGATGTTCGATAAAATGATGATTAGTTCAAAATTTAGACGTTAGTTAGTTTCAGAAACTCCTCTACTGCGGAATTATTATGTACACGTGGAATTTTTAATTGTTGTTCTGTTCACTCCGAATCTTTTGTACAACATGGAAAAACGACACAATCACACACGTACACAAACAAACAAACAAACATATACACTTTGTGTCATCAATTGTTTCGTTTCAACGAATTGCCATGGTTACGCGGTTGTTGTTGATGATGATGGTGTGTTGTTACGTAGGCGGAAGAAGACGATGACGGTGGTTTTTTTTTTTCTGTAGCAGCGTGAAATCATCGCTATAATTATTCGGTTTCTCCTCCTTATCGTTTGCGAAAATTGAATTATCTCTGTTGTTGGGGGGGGGAGAGGGAAGAGTGTGAGAAAATAATTTATATGGAGTGCGGTGGCAATTTGATAAATAGAAGGAAACAAATGAATGCGAAGAGAAAGAGAGGCTCGCGCAAAAGTCGTGAGTTGGCTATGGGTGGCGGCGTAATTAAACCCGAGATTGCCCATTAAGCGGCGCGTTTAAAACGCACTACATCATCATCATCATTTCTCTCTCTCTCTCTCTCTCTCTGTTTCTCTTCCAAAACTGTTTTGTGTGTTCTATATAGTGTGGATATTTTTGGCGCACTTCCCCCCATCTCTCTTCATATTCAATTCAATTTATCACAATTTCTTCCTTTGCGCCTTTGTCTCGTTCATCATTCCCTCTTCTATCTTTCCATTTACTCTGATCAGGACATGTGCGGACTCGGCGACGAACGTATGCTTCCTTGGGGCGAGGTGAGATGCGGGGGCGGTTGCTGCTGCTGTTGCTGCTGTGCCATGAGCGGTCCTAGAGCGCTCATCGAAGGTGGCGGCGGTCTTCCCGCCCCCAGCAGAGAGGCGAGCGGGTGCGGCGCCCCCGGCTGAAAGTATCCGTGCAGTGCGGGGTGCGGGTACAGCGGATGATGCGGATGGCGCGACAACGATGCCATCTTCAGCTTCTCGATTTCCGCTTCCTGCAGCCTCTTCGCCTTCGCCCTTCGATTCTGGAACCATATCTTCACTTGCGTCTCGGTCAGTCGCAGAGAACTGGAGAATTCCGCCCTCTCGGCGATGCTCAGGTACTGCTTGTCCCGGAACTTCTTCTCCAACGCCAAAAGCTGTTGAGTGGTGAACGGGGTGCGTGGTTTCCTGTTCGGTTTGTGCTTCCTCAGATTGCACTTCAGTTTCGGTCCCTCCACAGCTCCATCTGTTCGCAAACAAAGAACAAAAAAAAAGCAAAATAGTTTAGATTCACATTTACAACCACTTATTTGTCTTCGCATTCATTACTTTACTACAATTATCATTAGGATCCGTATTTAGTAAACGACTAATTTGTCGTTTGTTTTAATTTCTTTTGTCTACGTTTACTACTAATTGTCTTATATCACTACCCATTAATCGTTTTTCCCAATTTTGAAAGATTAACTCGATTTGTTGAATGTGTCATGATTTTTTTTTTCTTCATCTATCTATCTTGAAACTCTTACGTAATTGATACGTAATTTGCTTCGTAATTGGATCGAAGCATTTCTAATTGATTTCAACGTCCGAAACTGATTTAAGTCACTAATTTGTCTCTCTCTCCGCAGCACATTTACTAATTTACACCAGGAATTTCCATTACGTTCTCTCATTTGATTCTTCAAATTAATTAATTGAGTTTCTCAATAATCTTTGATTGACTTTTTCAGGTTACATTTTTGTCGTTTTTGTTTCAGCTTTAATTAGCAATTAATTCTTTCAAACTTTCGTTTATTTAACCATTCGCCATCCACCACCACCCTTTCCATCTCCATGGCAACGATAAAATTGGCAACCTTTAATTGATCGAATTCATCGAGTAAACTGTGTGTGTTTCCATAACAACCTCTGCTCGAAAATTACATGGACATGTATTTAATAAGCCGCCTTTGTGCTTCGTCGCTTTTAATTACAGCCCCGACCCTTCTTCATCATCATCATCATCAACATCTCTTCCCTCTTCCTTCTCTCCCTTCCACGTTTACATACACTATATACACACACATACACACTTATTTATTTTTTCATCCCTTTTTTTAATTTATTAATTAAACGTTGGCAGCACCGTAAACCTTAATTAACCGTTAATAACAAAAACAAAACACACATGTACGAAGCAGGCGTGTTTCTTTTAGCCGTCGTTTGTTTTCGGTTTTCATTTTTTTTTCTTTCTTTGTTTCCGCCTCCCGTCCTTCACACCCGATGACAATTCAATTACGTCCGTTAATTATTATTATTATTATTAAATGCAGAAACGTCGCCGCCTCATTCAATTTCGTTTTTTTTTTTTCGCTTTTTCTGGATCGTCATCCAAGTAATTACTTCATTTCCCACGACACACACACACACACTAAAAACGGTCGCGTTTTCTCCGATTGAGATTAATCAGATGTGCATTGTTGTAATTCGAATTGCAACGAAATCAAATCGTTTCTCTTTCTCTATTGGCGCAAGAATTTGCGCAATCTCTCTTGATAAGTTGTGCGAGTGCGAACAGTGCGGATTGCGAAGATGCTAAATCTAATTAAACTAATTGACGACGACGACGACTAATTAGGGCGCACGTGCAATTAACACGCGCCGCTTTTGGACTCGACCCGTCGTCGTCATCGTCCGGTGCGAAACGAGACCATTTTTTTTCACGTAATTCGCAATCATTTGAGCAATATTTAGACGAATCAAATTCACATAATTTCAACACTTTTAGTCGAAAGACAACTTTTTTTTTCTACCTAAATATTTGAATTAAGTAATTAAGTTTGTAAGTAGCGATTTTTTTCATTCTTTTCGTTGTTTCTTTTCCGTTTCTCGTTTAATGAACGTCGGATGACTCTCGAAATAAATTACACGCTCTTTAAATCTATACATGTGCTAGTGTGTATGTATGTGAGAGTGAGTGAGTGAGTAAATGAGTGTGTTTATATATACATAATTATAAATGGGTTTTACTTGTCTTTCTTTTGTTTTTTTGAAAGTTTATTTCCATGGCAATCATCGATATTATTAAACAACGATTGTTTTTTGTTTCTGCAAACAATCGATTGATTTGTATCCGAATTGTGTGGTGATTGTTTTAGATATGGGATCTTAGTAGTCTTCAACCACTTCAGATCTACCACCACATTGAATCGGAATCTCTCGTATCTGGACCTCAACCTTTTCGTTTTCGGAAACTAAAATAACACTTTTGGTAGAGATAATCAACCCCTCAACCCCCAAAAAAACAAAAAAAACACATCCAACATACAAATGTTATCGTCTAATTTAGTCGTTTCCAAAAGTCGTCGTCGTCGACTACTACTACCACCAAATAAAAAGTAGCGGCTCCGTTTTTATGGCGCTATTAAGAGATTAACTAAGACTCATTCTACTTCTTCTCTCGTCTTATCGCCAAGAAACGTCTTTACGTCTTTCCCTTTCTAACCTCCAAACACACACATAACACCGTGCTTATGAATATTCATTCGTTTGCGACGGACGAGAGGAGAAATCTCTAGAGAGAAAATGAAAAAAAAAAAAAAATACTCGTTCATTCTAATATCCAATTAACAACCCAAAGTCGCAGCAGCAGCCGCAGCCGCAGCAGCCCGTCAATCAATCTCGACGAATTCCCATAAAAGTCAACGTAATTATTAATAAATTGTCACCATGGAAACACAACCGTTTATTATTTCCATGACGACGACGACGATGATTGAATCGCGCGGATATTGTTATTATTATGAAAATAATTGCTTTTAATTAAAAAAAAATAAATAAATAAATAAATATTGTGTATCAGGATGATTTATGGAATTGCCGCTAATGGGACGAAGCGTTTGCGAATGAAATCCTCGCATAATTACTTTGTTTCCGTTAATTATCACCAATTCTCTACGCGTTATTGCTTCACAATTATCTTTCTTTCTTTTCACTTTAGTTTTCATTTGTTTCGCGCAAGGTTGCTGATTAAATAACTGAAGGCGATAAACAATTGTTGTGTTATTGCCTACTTTGCGTTCTTTCTCAACTCAATCATCGTATCAATAATGGAAGTTGGGAAAGAGAGAAATTACATTGTTTTTTTTTTGTTTTAAAAATTTGTTTTAATAGTTTAACGTTTCGATGCGAGAGTGTGTGTATAATTTTATAATTTCTGGGTAATAAAATTAATGTCGCCAATTATACGAAGTGGACTAAATACGAGGTAGCAAGCAGCACGGCGAGAGCGAGAGGAAATTAATTGGGCAACTCTCGACTCGTTTTCAGCGCCTACTCTCAAACCTTTTCTTTCTCTATCTCATTTTCGTATATTCCGTCGCCTTCGTTCATTTATTTTTTATTTCCTCTGTTTCCAAAACCACCTTCGATTAAAAAAAACAAATTCCACTAAAAGTTACGTCCACCTACGTTCACCTTTTTTCATCTTCTTCTTCCTTTGAAGCAAATACCGTTCTCTCTTTTCTATCCTTTTTTTTTATTTATATATATATATTTTAATGATTCAGAGAAACGGCGTTAAGTGAACGAGACCACAAGATACTTATCATTCGTCTCATCAAATCCTATTGGATTTCTCTCCATTCCACAAATTAACATTATTTTTTCGGCATTTTCATTAATTTTTATCATTCATTCATTCATTGTTATCTCTCTGGATTCAATTGTTCTTAAAATAAATGAGAATCGATCTAAGCTTACGCCGATCTTCGTGCTATGTTACAGACGAAACAAATGTTGTTTACGTGAAAACAAAAACAAACGAATAGATTCCGATGATCTCTTCTCCCGCTTCCGAAATACCCTAAAGATTAGATAATAACGAAATGATTCTCGGTATTTCCTTCTCATCCATTCTCACTCGCATCGCATCGTTTCTTTTTTCCAATTTAGAGCATTTTGTAATTATTCAAATAAACATAAAGTCACACACACACAGCAGAGCAAAGAGGAGAGTGGATGTAGTGAGTGAGTGAGCGCGCATGCACTCACGCACTACTCTCCCCGTTTATAATTAATGTTCTAATTAAAATTGATTTACTGCCTCGTTTGATTCGGATAACGAATTTTTAATTCGCTCCTTATCGACCCAAAGAAACAAAAATAAATTAAAAAAAACAAAAAAAAAAACAGTCCACAAGGAAAACAAATGAGTAAGACGAGAAGGGGCGATTGGAATGAAGAGAGTAAGAGAAATAGATTGAATGGTGGTAGCAGTGGTGGTGATGATGATGACGAAAAGACGGATTTAATTTAATTTATTTAATCTGTTCCGAGGCTAATTACTGTTGCTCCCTGTATTTAATGGACGGAATGCAATCTCTCTCTCTTTTCATCCTCTCTCTCACTCTCTCTTTCTCCTGATCCCACCATTTAAACGAGAGAAACAAACGAAAACAACCAAAAAAAACAAAAAATAAAAGACGACGACAACGCGTTCGTTCGAATCGAGAGCGCCTCGCAGCATTCCGTTGCGTAACAAACAAAAACGATACGAAACGTCGTCGTCGTCGGCCATTTGATAATAACAATCGACGTTGCATTAATTACAACAAAACAAAAGTTTATTGCCAACTTAAATTGCGCTTGTCAATTAAAACTTATTTGTTGTTGTTGTTATTAAAGAATTCGATTCGATTGAAACAAAATTAAAAACAAACGAATGCGTTTCTTTTCTTTTGTTTTTTTCGTGGCCTCCTCCTGCGTTTATTTCTGTTATGACAGATGAACGTCGGATCCGGAAGGCGCGCATCCCGCCGCCGCCGCCGCCTTATAACTAATATCTCTATTTGCGTGCGCGAGCGGTTTAAAAATAAAACGTATCTTTCTTCTATCTCTCGTTTTCCATTCGAAACGAAAAGAAGAAGTAAAGTTTAAGTGAAAAGATGAGAATACCGAAGGGTTATGAGAGAGAGAGAGAGCCAAAAGATAAGTGTGTCAGATTGTGTGTTTATTTTGAAAGATTATCGGCGATACATAAAGCCGTATGACTTTAACAGATTCACCTGTCACGACCGCTTAAATATACGTCTCCTCTTTTAACTCTTCTCTTTTTATTTTATCTTCATCTCTCTCTATCTTTATCCCTCTTTACCACCTTTATTCCTTCTTTTTCTGCCGCAATTAAGAAATGAGGGAGCAACAGTAACGGTAATCATCGTCAAGGCGACGACGGTGACACCTGTTATTGTCATCGTTGTTGTT